TCAAGCACTATAGGAAAGAAATAGAATGTATGAAGCAGAATCAAAGTGCAATACAGGGAATTAAAACCTCAATCATAAGCTGGGAAAACTGAATGAAAGTGAGAATACACTTTGAGAACTTCAAGACACCATTGCAGCTATTGAAAAGGTAAGAAAAGATCTCTTAAAAACAACTAGGATGCAGGAAAAAATAATTCAACATCTGCAAGACGATGCAAAGATGAACAAAGTAAGACTAATGGGCATCAATGAGAAAGAAGGAGTCAATACAAATGACATAAAAAGAATATGAGCAGAAGTAATAGCAAAAAACTTCTGAAACATGGGGAAACAATCTCACCTTCAGTTAACTGAAGCATATAGAACTCCAAATAACACCAACCCAATTAAAAGCACACCCAGACATATAATAATCAAGATCTCAGAAATTCAGCACAGGAACAGTATTCTAAAAGCCGCTAAAGAAAAGAAACAGATCACATTTGAAGGAAAACCCATCAGAATAATGGCAGATTTCTCTTCACAAACCATCAAGTCAAGAAGAGCATGGAGCTACTACAAGTCTTGCATAAAACAAATTCCAACCCAGACTGATATATCCTGCAAAACTCTCTTTCAAGTTTATTGGAGAAGTAAAATACTTCCATGACAAAGAACTAAAGAATTTCCGACAACAAAGCCAACTCCACACAGACTACTAAAAGATATTCTAGAGAGGGATAAAAATGACCACAACTCCATGAATGAGAATGGAAAGAACCCACCAAGTAGGGCAAACAATTAAATACAGGAGAAAAAGAGGTATACAAAAGCAGTCTTTCAATTATTCTTTTGTATACAACAGCAAAATATTTCCATCAGCATACTCTACAAATCTCACAAGTGACACCTAGCCACCAATAAGCATCATGGACACTGTCCACCACACACTAGAACTTTGTGCAATATCCTATCCCCAAACTGTTAGAAGTGCTGGCCATATATTTGCCACTCCAGTATTTTTGTTATGCTTTATTCTTAGTGGGCTGGTGAGACAGCTCAGTAGAACACGCATTTGCCTAACAAGCACAAAGTCCTGAGTTCAGTCCCTGGTATTGAAAAAAAAAAGAGAGAGAGAGAGAGAGATGTTGCTTTATTCTTAGTAATTCTTTGCTATCATGAAAACTTTTTATTACTTGATATTTTTTCATATGTTAACCTAATCAAATAATATGTGAGTACTCTGAATTGATCACAGATTCGTACATATGATACACTACATTCTGGCCTCTTAGTTGGACTCACAATTTAATTTTAGTTTTAATTTTTGAATATTATTTTGAAATATTTAATTAAATTTTGAATTAATTTTTAATTTTCTGAATATTGTTTAATTGTAATTTTAAGATTTATACTGTTTCTTTGAGTCACAATCTACTTATAAGACATGATATTTTCTCCTAGTATTAGAAATTTTAAAGTTTATTTCCATTTTCCATTGACTTTTTCCTTCTTTGTCTTTTGCGCATGTGTGCACATGCACACACACACACATACACACACACACACGAAAAAATATATATATGACCTGACATAAAATTGATAGTTTTGTGGAAATTTTCAATGACCTTTTAAATGGGTTCATCTAATGTAATTATATTTTACATAGTCCTGCATAACTACCATTTTGAAAGCTATTTATTCTTTAACCAGGACCATCCAGCAACTTCTCTTGCTTTCTGGATTATGGTCTTTGTTATGCCATGTCTGGTGGCATTTGAATATTTCAAGTTTGAATAACTGGAAAATATTTTACTTTTAGTGTTCAAAGATATGTTTACTAAGTATAAAATTCATGAGGACAGATTTTTTTTGTTTTGCCTTTTCAGTCCTTTGAATAAATAAGTCTAGTTTCTTACCCACTTGCTCTTTTTTTTTTTTTTTTCCTAATGTGGATTAAGATGCTATTTAATTTTGTTCTTCCATAGCTAGTATTTTTCTATGTATATGATTTAATGATTTTTTTCTTTGCAATTAGTTTTGGACAATTTTATTTTGTGTATCTTGGTATGATTTTATTCAAATGTCTTATGCAAAAGGTCCCTTTTTCTTGGAAATGTGGCATTATAATTTTAACTAAATTCAGAAATTTTAAATCTTTAATATTTATTGCCTACCCCATTCTACTCTGAGAATTCTAATTATATGAATTTAAGTTTCTTGATTTTGGCACAGAGCAAACTATTATATGACTGATCTGTAAACTCCTTCTTCATGTTTATTTTAGATAATTTTTACTGTTATATCCTTTTAAGTTTGTAAACAATTTTTTACAATGTGCAATCTGTTATTAATCTCATGTTATGTATTCATTTCAGAAATATTTCTCTAAAATTCACTGTCTACATCTTATATCTTTCACATTCAATATTTGTCTACAACTTTTAATTTGCTATATAATTATTATTGATTTTCAATAAAAATAATGAGTAAAAAAAAACAATTACAACAATGACAAGCTGCTTATGTAATAATGTCTCCATGATTAATCCACTAAATGACGTCATAGTTGCTGTAGCTTGTGTCTGAACAATCTACAATGTTCCCGTGACAAAAAGTTTCTAGTTGGGCCGGGGAGATGGCTCAGTAGGATAAGTGCTTGACTGGCAAACGCAAGGATCTGAGTTCAATCCCTGGTTCCGGAAAAAAAAAAAGTTTCTAGTGATGCATTTCTTTGAACCTGTCTCCATCATTAAATGACTCATGGCTGCATTTCCTCATAGGAACACTATGAGTTTTACCTGAGAATGTGTAAAGGCCACTGTCTGGAGTGTACAATCAAAGCAATCTGGTGTTATGGTTTGTGTCTAGTTTCCCACCAAAGCCTCATGCAGTCAAGGGGTAGACTTCAAGAGTTTGTGACTAACTCATGATCCACTGGGATTGTGGGTGTGAGTGCTGCTGGGATTATGGGTGTGATAACTGTAGGCAGCCTGGGGCCAACAGCCTGAATGAAACAAGAAAGACAGACTCACTCTCTGTAGCCATTGTTGCCGCTACTCATCCATTTTGCTCTCTTCTCTCTACCACCTCCATGAGAGGTTGCTCTTTGCCATGTGCTGCCCTGCCTTGGAGCCTGGTGAGTATGGACTGAAACCTCCAGTAACTGTGAGCTAAATAAATCTTTCCTTCCTTCATTTTGGGTGTTAGGTATTTGTCCCAGCAATGAGAAAAGTGTAAGTGAGACATCTGGCTTTTGAAATTACCCTATTTTTCAATTTTTGCAGTACACAACACATTCCCCATGGGGAGTTGGTTCCTGTCTGTAACACATCCTAATGGTCTTCTCTTCTCCCTCATCTCTAGGCACCCTTCCCATTTGCCAAAGAACTAAAACATTACAGGAAATATGGAAACTGTACTCTTAACATTTATGAGCTATATTCCAAATGCTGTTTTTTAGTATCTAAATTATAGAAACAGGATTCTTCCAGATAGTAGAAGAAAGGGCTGAATTTTTTTTCCCTTAAATGACTGAGCAGCCTGTTTAATGAACCTGACACTGTACTGCTGATACAATGGGAATAAAATGTCTTCACTGTCCCCAATGATGACACAGGCCAACAAAACATTAACCCTGCTTAAAACACTTTAAACTGTCATATAACTAATGAAAAGAAAATGTTAGAACAAAGCATAAACTGGCTCACTCCCAGGAAACTGAGAAGTCATCAGACATAAAATGGGAAGTGGATGTGGAGTCATAGTTGGAGGAAGGTGCCTTAGCAATGGCATTTGCGAAGGTGTGAGCCCAGGTCCTGCTTGGGAAATGACTGCTCAGAGCCGGTGCCAGAACTTCGGTCCTGGCCACGAGAGGCAGGTGCCGAGGCGGGCAGGCGAGCGGGGCTAAGACAGGACAGAGGATACAGAGTCAGTACTGGGTGTCAGAGGGTTACCCAGCGAGTAATGTGGCAGGGTGAATGATTTCAACAAGGCACCTCCAAAGCAAGAAGAAAGGTACACTGGATGGGAAACAGTGAGAGGACAAGCCAGCAACAATTTCAAGCGCAGGCACAGCAAATCCATTCATATCAAGTGGGACTTGATGATCGGCACTTTTCTTTATAAATTAAATATACATTTAAAAATATAATTATATTTGCAACAGTAAAATTCTGAAAATTAAAATCAAGCTTTTTAGTTATTAGAACTTGTACTATATTTTTTTAAATCCTAAGGGCCATAATTTTTATTACAATACCCCAAACACCTATGTACTTGGTTTTTGGCCTCACCTCAAAAAATATTTCTTACACTAATAAATAAAACATCATCCAGTAAGTCAAGCAAATAAGATACCCAAGGTCAGAAGCCAACCAAGAAGAAGAAGGAAATCAATTATAAGGGTTATTAAGAAAAATATTCCTCATTAAGACTATTTCCATTATGAATTCCAACAGTTGTTCTTTGTGGCCCATAAAACAGTCAGTTACACTTCTCATTACAGCAAATGCCTAGGGGTTGGTGTGTATTCTCATTGGGGTCAGGAGTTCTGATCATCAGAAAATTAAACCTCTTGTGAATGGAAAGGCTAAGACCTTGCCCTGAAATATAAGCCCCGCAGCTGACAGGCAGCCACCTCCTTCTGGAGAACCACTCAGATCCCAGGTGGTTGTAACCCTTTTGCCTTCAAAAGCTGGGCCAAAGCACAGTAATGCTATCCCCACTGTAGACAGAGGGAAGATGGTCCCACGTTTACTGTTTTCTAATCTGCTCTTTATCAGAATGTCTGAGGGTCTGGGTTGTAACCATACACTTTCATTAAAAAACAAACACCTTGCCCTCAGCATGTCAAAATGTTATCAGCAAGCCCTGCATCTGAGATCTGATGTCTAACTGGCTGCGTGAGGCTTTCTCCTTGTCCTCTGCCCTATCTGTTTCAGTAATATGAAACTCTGTGTGCACTGACGTTTCCTTCCTGAAGGCATTTCCTCTCCATTGGAGGCATGTCCCTCTCATACCAGCAGAGGGAGGCCTGATCCACTGCCTGAGCTTTGGGACTGCTCGATCAGGTCTCTCAGGGACTCTCCTGGAGGAATGTAGGTCTCATCCTGCTCCAGCCCAATGCTATACCGAGGCCTGGTTTCTTGTCTCTTATACCTAAAGATGAAGGGATAACTTTAGAAACCGAAATACAGCAATAGGGGAAAAAAACTTTATAATATACTGATTTTAACACATAAATAATACAAAACCAAATATTTAGTACATCCTTACAGTTTCTAAAATATAAATCATAATTACTTTGCTAACTTATTTGTTAATAAACTTCATGTTTTTTAGTGTTCAAACATTTAAAGTTTTCTTCTTTTTCTTTTAACTGCATATATCCAAACACAATACATTTTGTTTGTTTTCCCAGTTAAGATGTTTATTTCTCAAATCTGTTCCTTTAAAGTCTCTAATTAATTAAAAATGAAAATCCTTGGCTTACAGAAAACACTAGAGCTGTCATATAAGGTAATGTATGAAATAGTAACAAGTGAAATAAAATTAAAGTTTAAAAACATTCTGCTAATAATTATGTCTTTAACTATAAAATAAATTTATTTGAACAGACTGACCTATTTGAAGAATATTACAAATTAATATTAAATTTCTCAAAAGGCAAATAATATGTATATCAAGTTCTTTCATATTTTGCAAACTAGGAAAGAAGTTATTAGGCAGCTGAACATAATTTATCATCCTTAACTGAATTTGCTTTATGTTAATTTTTAATCTACAAATTATGTTTAAGATATCTCAATACTGAGAGGAATTTTTTTTACCTTAGGTAATAAGGACTTATTTGAATCACTCTAAGTTTAATATGATCTTTTCTTTGCTTAGAGTCAAGCGTTAGTAGCAAAAAGTCCCCGAATTCCCCAACTAGCCTAGTTTCCTTAGGGATTAAATATTTATGAGATCTTTTGATATCTGAAGCAGAAATTAGATAGGCATCTTCTTATATATAACATCATTAAGACATATATTTGGCGGCAGTAACAGATAGTTTCAGATCTAATTAGGCCAAAGAAGCTGTGACTAAAAACATCAACAAACAGAAGTAGAGTACTAGGAAAGAAAGATAAGACCATTGCAAATTCTGTGCCTTCACGTTGAAAACTTACCTGAAGTAGCAGAATAAAATGATAAGGACCAAAAGCAAACTGCAGACAGTCACAGATATAAGTAAGGCCTTGTGATGTATAGGTCCATCGACAAAATCTGAAAGTTAGAGAAAAGCATGACAGTTATGATATGGACCATGCTTCTGCTTGAAAATAAGGAGCCAGCTCTTTCCCAAAGTCCATGCTAAGCACTATATGCAAAAGGTGGAGAAATTTTCAGCACTCTAATTTGTAAGAAAACCCACATGTATACTAAGAACTAGGTATTAGACTAGAATGAATCACTGTTCATCTAGACACCCAGTTCAGGAACACAGTTCCACTCTGGAAACAAGAGGGTTGGCCATGATAAACCCATGCAAAGGAAATGATGAAGCAAAATAGATCTAAAATATGAGCAAAAAGGTATGGTTATTCCACACTCCTGTGGTTCACAGCCCCTGCTCACGAAGCTTCTGGAGCACTCCGTCTGCCGAATTTGGATTTAAAGCCACATCTATATTCATGGTGCATAAAGGCAGAGCATCCTTCCGGCAGCCATGAAGGAGACTCCTCCAATGTTGCCAAACACACAGAAGATAGCACCATAAACAAAGATGTCTTCCAAGGCACTGGGCTCAGCTTTTCACAAGTGAAATCCCTTTTTATAAGAACTGGACACATTACAGACAAAGAACGTGTGATGCTTTAACAGATAAACCTAATTATTAAATATTATCCATTTGATTTCAGAGATATTATAATGCATCTTTACTACAATAGAAATTAAGCAGATTTACTTAAAGCATGATTTCTCAATATTTATGAAGAACTGAGATACCTTTAACACAAATACATATTTTCTTACTTTTAAACTCAGGAATTTTTACACAAAGAATCCCGTATTTTAACAGTCTTCATTGGTTATTTTTATGCAGGTGGTCCCTTAGAACTATATTGAGGAAAACTGATGGAAAATCTGGTATGCTTATATAGTAACAGAACCGGCACTGTTTCTTAAGGGCAGCATATATATCCTTGAGAAGAGTGATTATCATTACTTAATTTTAAAAGTACTGTTACAACATTAGTTCTAGAAGAGGGTTTCTAACTGTGCTGTCTTCTTATAAATATATGACCACCTAAATATTTTGTATCCACAATGACTTACTGTATCCAAAATGACTTACTGCAAGTTCCATAAAAAAAACTGAAAGTCACCAACTAATCAAAATCACCACCTCCTTACCACTAGGGTCAACAGCTGAACAATGTTATTTCAGTAGCATTTTGATGAACAAAAAACAAGCTCATGAACAAAATATTTTGCCAGATTATATTACTTTACAAGATTATTTTCATTTATAGTATCTTGGACATTTTCCAAAAGTAATAAATGAGTTTTAAACATCACATAGTATAAAGACATCCTCAATAGAAAGCCCATCTTCTATTCTTACATACTTAGAAGATTTCAGAGATCATATTATAATGCACCTTTACTACAATACAAAGAAGTCAAAAATATTTCACTTTTAAATATTCCCTACTGGTCCAGATTAGCTATCTACCATCTTTCTCTCTGTTCCTCCTTTTCCTACCTTCAGATAAATCAGCTTTGATTTTCACAAGCACAAAGGTCTGCAGTGAACACATGTATGTACCCATCTTCACATGTGCCTGTATTTATTTAATTGAGAGATCTAGACATAATTATTAGCTCAAAGTACATCAAGTTGTTTCATTCAGATTGTCAAATACCTTTTTGAAAAGCTGTAATAATTTCTACCTCAATATCTATATATCTTCATTATTCATAAAGAATTTCATCCTTATAAAAAACTATAAAAATAAAGAACTCATATATAGCCTTAATCCAGATTTCTTATGGCTAGCATATTTGTTTTATAATTCTCTTACTGTATCAGTGCCCCAATAAAGGTACACACAAATATGTATATTATATACTTACATTTAATTTTACTTATTTAGGTACTTATACATCTGTACTATTTTAGAATATGTGTAGTTGCAGAATAATGTTCCTGTCATTTACAAACAGTTTGGAATACACTTCCTAGGGATGAAGACCTTTTCTTATGAAGTGTAACACAATTACCAAATTCAGGAAAATAACATGAGTATATAAGTTGAAAATAAATCTTACTGTACTTTGAAGCATTTTAGAGAAGACCTGGATTACTTATTAAAAGGTAAAATCTGCACATCACTATGCTTATTTCTTGTCAAAATCTATTTTTCTTTGTCTGTCTGCGCTCGCAGCACACAGTGTCTGCACCCTGCGTGTGGAGCTGGGCGGACACGCACAGCTCCCTTCCTCCCTCCACCTCGCTTGCTTCATGCTCGGTGATAGATTTCCTCATCCGTCCAGAGTACGTGCACTTGGCAGTTACTTAGGACCCGTACTATTCCCAAAGTATGAACAAAAGCAGCCTTCATCTTCAAAGGCTAAATGGAAAAACAAGCAATTTTATACAAATAAACTAAAAGAATACTGCCAATTGACCACAAAAAGAAGGCGTTTGAGACCTTTGCCCACTAGATACTGTCTAAAAAGCCACGCCAGCTTCACATCATCAGAAACAATAAGCAATATATAATTATAATGTACCATGTATGGAAAACCTGAAACAAGTATATAGTTTTAACATTAAGCAAGCTGAAATTTAATACAATAAATTACCTTAGTAAATTTTCCCCATATTTCTTACATATACACATAAAGACTGCCACTGCTATCTTACCAATTTTTAAAATAACAAAAGGTTGACTTTATAGAGAGCCAAAGAGAATGTTACTCAACTAAAAACCATAGCTGACCACATAATCAGTAATGTCTCCAGTATATGAACAGAGAATACTTTTCAATCCAGTGATTCAGTTTTACTAGAACTATGCACTTCTATGCCGTTCACTTCTTACGAAAAATGTAGATTGCAGATTACAGCCTGGCCTTTACTCATTTCATTATATTTCTGATTTATAAAAGCAGGGAAACCTCAGAGGCTCCAGGAATTCTTCCCTTACCTGCAGCATTTTATTAAAAGGTAGCAGGATCTCCCTATTTTTTTCTTGTCCCAATAATCCTCTCCCTGCGCTTTACCCTATGCCACCTGGGCTTCCTTCAGGAGCAGCTGACCTCATCGGGAGCCCTCTTCTTTCTGCTGGTCCTGCTGGTCCAGTTTAATCTGCCATTACCTGTGCTTAGAATATTAACAATGTAAACACTCAAGTCCTTGCCAGAGAGTGGACAGGACCCCTTCAGGATACCAGTTGGGAGGAGAGCAGAGACTACTCCCTGGGCTGCAGAACTGCACCTGCGCTGCCCTCTGCCTGCTCAGGGATGTAGAACCAAGAACTCCTGGGAAGCCAGGCTCACCATAGCAAGCATGGAAGGCCAAAGGCAGTATTGTAGCAATACTGTGCTCTGTTGCGCTGCACGCTGCTGCTCTCTGGTAAGTAGAGCAGTTAGTGCTTTAAAGGAAAGGACTCGTTTTATAAAGCTAAAAGATGGCTCATAATTGCAATGTGAAATAAAAGAAAACTCATGTAGCCAGAAAGAATCTTGGAAATAACCCTCTGCCCAAGTCACTCTGCCATGGATGTTCCATGCTACATGGTGGCATCAGGAGGCCTCTTCCTATCAGAAGAGCAGAAAGCATGCTCCTGCTATAGGCTCTTATTCAACAGGTAGCAATGCGCATGCTTACTTTTGTCAGACATCAAAATTCTTCTCTATAGAAAACCCTAGAAATAAATTATTTTTCTATAAGCAAAATGCAATTTCCCAGCCCCATCCTCCTGCATAAAGTGCTTAGGGGGTTATGCTCCTGATCACAAAGCACATTAAGACCAAGTTTTTACTTCTAGACTATTTTACTCAAAAAACAAATTACCTTTAAATTCCTCTCATCTGTCCTACCAAAAAAAATATTCAGCCTGAAATTCAAAGATTGGCCGTTTCAAGAAATACTAATGCTGCTTTCCTGTGAGGACGTCAGCTCTGATTCATGGTGTGGTCTGGGCTGCCGAGGTGTGACCTGCTCACCAGAGGTGAATTCCAGCACCCACTCGTGTACACCATAGGCTCTGACATGTTCAGTGCGTGCCCGGGAGAAAGGGACGTTCCTCTGACTGCATTCTTGTTTCCTGGACAGTTGTTTGCTTGTCATTAGCACTAAGGGAAAAGATTGTAAAACCCATCTGTATGCTGCTCAAACTACAGTTATCATAATTGAAGGAGAAGAAACAAGACAATTTATAACTTTTCAAGTCCTGTATTACAGTTTGCCTTCAACTACACCAAAATTACCATATTGGCAAACAGAGGAGTACTTCAGATAAATTTTCTAGTAAGTCAAAATGTAATGTACTCACATAATTTCTATAAAAATTTAAACTAAATCTTAGTTTTAAAATTACAGAAATTTTGTAAGAGACAATGCAGAAATTATAGAAATTTTGTAAGAGCCAATGCAGAGTCCCCACTTAGTGAGGCAAAGATATTATTTATTGCATCTTAAATGCTCATCTTAAAATTGACTGTAAGAAGTTGAGTCTGGGAGAAGACTGCAGCATGTCTCCTCCCTTCTGCGCATGCCCCTCGCTCTCCCCTTGTACCAGCTCTGGGTTCCGGGTTCCCCAGGCTGTCTCTGGTTTATGACGAAGGAGCTGCCTTCACTCTCATTCCTCTGCACATGCTCTCCTCGGAAGAAGTGTGTTATCCTATGGCCTTCTGCTTTGCAAAGCAAACACAGCAAGCTGAATCTGGCACAGCAGCATAAGCTCGGTGAAGTGTGCTGATCTTTGCTGTCCTTTCCTCATCTTTGAATGGGAAGAGGACCTTACAGGGTGAGGCTCCTGTGGGTCAACCACAAAATACTTAGCATGATGCTTGGCTGATACTAATGATTTTAATTTCTCAGTTTTCATTTATGCAGCCTGTTCTGCTTCAGCCACTTAGGAAATTCTTGTTTATTCTTACCTTCATGTTGAAGTATCACAGTGGCTGTGAGACCATGTGACCTCCCACCCCAGACAGAGTGCGCCCCTAGCTTGCTGTCTTATGATCAACCTGATGACATTTTACAACCTCACTCAAATACAGAGAAGTTCCTGATCAGATGCAGTGACACCTCGGCTGTCGAGAAGTTTTAAAAATGGTTACATAATCAAGTCTTGAGTAAAGGTCCTCTTATTTCATTCCCACAAGAGTTGGAGCTACACCCTTGGGGGGGATGCATGCCAGTGGACTCAGTTCCAAACTCAAACTTTCCATTGTTCAAACAGCAAAGCTAAAAAAAAAAATAAATAAACAAATAAACAAACAAAAAAATCCACCTGTTCCATATTGATAGTTGCTCAAAGCTGAACTGAGACTCCAACTTGAGAAAACATGTACAGGCTGAGGGGGAGTCACGAGTCCTCCCCCAGGACACAAAGGGGTCGCCTCCTTCCAAGCTCTGCTCTTCTTGACAACAGACTGTGCTTGTCTTAATGCTTTCAAACTTTCACCACTGTGCTTTATTTGCATAAAATATCCTAACAGTGGTCTCAAAGAAAGTGATGCCAGCAGTAAAGCTAAGAGGTAACCAGAGAACCCTGGTGGAGTTACAGAAAGAAATCATTGCAAAATTGTTGAAGTGTTGGAAAAATGAATTCAAAAGCGCCATTTTGGGGCTTCAAAATTGATTATTTTGTTTTCCATTAATGTTATAGGAAAAATATGCTCAATTCTCAAACTTTTCTGTGTTTGAACACAGATCTGTAACAAGTTGAGTTGAACATGCAAGGTGCCTCTGTGTAAATTAATTACTCAGACGTTTCTCATATCCTAGTGTACACTTTGTGGAAGAAGCATTGTCTTCATCCATTTCTATATTCCTAACAATGGATTACCTGAAAAAAACTAAAAGAACTGTGAGACTTTATGTGAATCCTATGAATCAGTATGTAGTTTCTGGGCTGCAGCAGGAAAAATTTCATAAAGTGTTATCAAAGCCAAGAAATTCCACTATATTTTGTTGTGGAGAGTTCCTCTTCTCAAGAAATAAAATGAATCACAAAGGATCATTTTAATCCACCTACATAAGACTTAGGACTTACCGTCTACAATGACAGTAAGTCATTCATTTTATGGTGAGAATAAAGAGGGAATGGAAATATTGGGCTGTTTCTAACATGAAGTCATTTGGAGTACAATTACTGCTGTTTTAAATGAGAAATACTTAACTGAGTCAGCCTTGAAATGAAAACCTTTACACATCCTCGTCATCCTATCAATATACCAATATATGCGTTCATGAAAATTACTCTAGCATAGATCTAATGAAGTGTCACACAGCAAATTACTTAGCCACTTAAAAGGTATTTATTTTATAAATAATGTAGGCAGAGGTAGTTTTAGAGGCAAATACAACTCATGAATAGCGTTTAGGGGTGAAAGCAAGCAGTCTACAGAGCACAAGGTCTCGGAAGTGACTTCCCAGCAGGATAAAGGGAGGAGGCTAAGTAAGAGCACCAGCAGGAAGAACACAGCACACACATGTCCAGAGGACCTTTCCTTGTTTCTTTGAATGACAGATTCTGTCATATTAGAGCACCCTCTGCCTTATCAGTGGCGAGTGATGCAGGCAGACTCTTGAGAAAGGCAACAAAGAGATCCAACAAGCTGAATGGAGGAGGAGTCATGTTGGAGAGACCCAGGGAAAGACAAGGACTCCAGCACTTGTACACATTACGCCTAAGCCTTCCAAGCCTGGAAGCCTTCCTGGCCTTACCCCTGTTCTTCAGTGGAGGCAGTGTAGGGTGTAGATCTTTATTACATTCATTCTTTTCTGTACAGCATTCAATGGATCTTCTTTGATGAGGAATGGGAGTATCCTGAAATCAAACCCACACAACTATTAGCAATTTTATTCTAGCTGAATGTCATACTGTGCAAAAATTTAAAAATTATCTTTAGCAAATTTATATGAAATTAGAATAACTTTTTACAGCTCAAATATGTTATTTGCTATCAGGTAATTTATTTCAAATTATCCTGTGCTATCTTACGGCAACTTTTGCATGTAAACAAAACTACAATTACATCTGTAATAAGTAGTATACGTTCCCTGAGGAAAAAGTTTTGGCTTAATGCAATGTGGTAAATTGGATTTTGGAAATAGTCTAATGACTCACTGAGTAGGAAGAAAAGGAAAAGAATACTAGATTTCAAAAGGAAGGAATTGGCACAATGAGAACTTTCACTTATCCTCCAAATTCCTGACAATGACAAGTGGATGTCTCACTGAGATATTGCTGGAAATCCAGCCAATGCAAAGACACCCAAGTTATCATCCTTACCCGACACTGAAAATCTGAGCCTTCCAGGCCTAGACATCCAGACGTCACCACAGGCATCCCAGAGTCATCTTCCTCGATCATGGTGAAACAATATCCATCTGTGCTGCAGACCGGAAGGCAAGGGCAGGGGACAGAAGCAATGAGTGTCGGGATGAGGGTCTCAGTTTCAACACACGCAGGGAGCAAACGAGTCATGAGTACAGGTCACAAACTGTTCAGAAAATCTGAAAACTTCCTTTTAAGAAAGTGGATTTAATTGTCTTGAAAACATCTGTTAATACCTTCTCTACCTAGAAATTTGTGAGAAAGGAGGAGTCAAAACGTCCATGAATTGCCATTCATCACCATCTACACCACTTTCTGAACTTACTTTACTCCTTCCCAGATAGAAATTCCTCCAGAAAAACACATGCCAAACAACCCAGAGGAAGGCAGCACCATCCTCAACTTCTATGTGAGGAAACTGAGGCTCAGAGGAATTCCTAAAAGGGCACCGTGAGGCAGAGCAGGCAAGGCTGGCTGCACGCAGGTGTGCACCCTGCTAGCTGTATGGGCTGAGCTGGCGAAGTGCGCTCACCCCCTACTCAACACAACAGCTAAAGCCGGGATAGAGCTGGGTCAGCAGTGTAGACGGTGCAGCCGCTGCCTGCTCAGGAAGGGATGAAGCTTTACTGTGAGCCATCCAGGTTGACCCGGGAGAGGCCACGGGGCACCACACTAAGGCATTCTGACACAATAACGGAAACAAATGATTTCTATTCTTTGTGTGTTTTCCTGGATTTATACTCACTTTTTCTATGGCACTTTGTCCTCTGAACAAGAAGATAATAATAGTTCTATTTTATAGACAAAAAAATTGAGAAAGTGATCACTTTATGCAAAGCCAAAAGTACTTAATGACACTTGGCAGAAATGGTGAGACTTTGAGAGGCAAGTGCCCAAACTATACCCCAAAACCCATGAAAACCCATTTATTTATCACAAAGTGTCAAAACTGCAATTAAACCTGAATACTGGAGTTTCAGTTTAGAAAAAACTCATACAGAAACATCTTTTGTTTTAAAAGAAAAACAATTAACATGGGCACCGTAGATTCTCCACTACTGCACTAATAAGGTATGTACCAATTTCCCCAAAGTGATTATTATACACTGAAAATTATAACAATAAGAATTTTTTAAAATGATTACATAATCAAGCCTTGAGTAAAGGTTCTCTTACTTCATTCCCACAACAGTTGGAGCTACACCTTTTGGGGGATGCATGCCAGTGGACTCCCAACCCAAGTAACAGCATGGCCTACAGAAATAAGCTATTGAACTATATGATCACCCTTTCTTGTTCATACGCAGACCTGGTATTAAGACAGACACATCTGTGTCACCCAGGAAGAAGGCTGTGAGAATGGTATCAGCCATGATCTGCAGGCTTGTGTCTTTTGCAATCGTGGTAGCAGCATCCTGCCATGCTCTGGCCCTTCACTTATCATCAACATCCTCAGAAATGTTTACTTGGTTTCTGAGGCTTGAGCAATCCAGAATGCCTCAGTTTATTAAAAAAAAAACTAGTAAAGCAAAGTTCAAATGTACTAATGAAGAGCGAGGAAGAGCCAATGATAAACTGCTTTGTCAGATGAAGGTCAAATGCATGAATATTTCTGCAGAAGAAGGACTGCCTCTGAACAGTGCTTGCTTTGAAATCTCTGGGGACGTTTTAATCAATACACTGAAAGTTTTATGAAAATGTAAAGCATATAAATGTTAAAGACAATAAATATACCTGTTTCTTAGAAATTTAAATAGCATGAATAAACAACACTCGTGTGATTTTAAAAATTTGTTTCTACATAATTAAATTATATATGGAACTTACGATAAAAAGTATAATAAATGTTTGAAAATTACGTAGCATTTATTGTAGTCAGAGACACACTGCCATTAATCCCTTTCAAAATATCCCCCTTACTCAAACACACTGATCCCATCACTCTTGCTATGCTCTGAGGCAGCTCAAATCCTCTTTTGTGTCTTTAATTGTACTGTTGTGGCTGTCTAGATGTCCTGATGCCCTCAGTTGACTCAAAATGTTTACCATGGAAGGTAAACTTTGAGGAAGAACCAGAAACCACGTGGTGCTGATCTGGTGAGAGCGGTGGATGAGGGCGCAGCGTGACGAGCTTGGGAGCGACTCTTCTCTGCATGGTACTCAGCAGCTGCAGGAGTTGTTATTTCCTGATCTCTCAAAAGACACTCATGAAAGAGGAAGGACCACCAGAACTACCTCAGAAGGCAGCTAGAAAGATGGGGAAAAGCATGTCTGAAGCAAGCAGGTAGTCCTTTGGGGGAAATGATGGCAATGTTTCTTTTATTAAAAAATTGTGATTTTTTTAATTTAAACATATTTTGATCATACCTCATATATTTTTGATCAAAAGCAAGATTAGAATTTATCAGAAACAAGTCCTCTTAATTTTCTGATATTGAAAATACTCTGGGGATTGTTTAATCAACAGATAGATTAAGTCTGAAGACTACTTTCTACACTTTGAGTTTCCCTTACTTAAAACCTAGACAATTCATACAAATCAAGAAAGGGATGAGAAAATAAAGCTAAGTTTTTGGTAAAATCATGTTAAAATGTCCCAGGAAACATAAACATTATGGAAAGCATAGTCAAGCCTTAAAATTCCACTCCCCTGTTTGCAAAGAGGGAGAAGCCAAAAATATAAAGAAATGAGAGAGAGAAAGAGGGGCCTTGGAGAAAAGAATGTCTCGTTCACCCTAAATACACAAAGGAAACAAATACTTAGTTGAAGAAGGAGGTGAGAAAGCCATTTCTGTGCATATCATTCCTAGCAAGAGAGTGAGAGTAATGTGTAAGCTTCTCTCCGAAAGTGCGACCTAACAAGGGAGACTTAGCTGGAAACCTGCAGGACACTTACGAAGCTGAAGAATTACTTGCGAGCTTTCAGTCTTCAAGCAAGCACAATGTAAGCAAAACTGAGTTCCAGCATCAACACCGATGACCTCTGTTCACCATTAAGATCCCACTGCTCAAGGGAAATCAGTTCCTCCCAATGAAGGGAAATCAGTTCCTACCAATGGCTTATTTGAGAGTTGCACTGCCTGGGTGCCACATTTAATTTAGTTTTATATAGATAAATTATTACTCTATCCTCCCTAGACTTTTTTTTTGTTTTTTTGGAACTGGGGATTGAAATTTTCGGAACCGGGGATTGAATTCCCTAGAATATTGAAAGTGATAAGAAATGAATAATCAAAAAGAAAACCAAAATAAAAAGAATGTAAACAAAATTGGAAGTAATGAAATGTATACATAATTGTAGGCTAGTCACTGAACTAGAGTAATGATTATAAACAGAAAGCAGGAGAGAGAGCTGATCTCTCTAGAGCCCTTCCTGGTCCTCATCTCAGTCCAAGAAGCTTATATTTATAATTCCATGGAGAAGTCACTGGAATCCCATCAAGTTAATTCCAATCTACCACACCCAGTGCAACCCACATGCAGCATAAACACTAAGGCATATTTGAAATTATGTAATATTCCCTCCCATTTCTCAGACTCTTGGATTGCCCCTCTTTCCTACATTACTATAGTTGGTAAAAATCGAGGGATCCTAAATTCAGCCATAATGATGTCTATCTGGAACAAAGGCCTAGACTCAAAGCCTAACCCACGTTTAATTCATTCATGAAGACAGGGATGGCTTGAGGATGAGTGACTGTAAGTGCAGCATGAAGTAGGTGAGAGCCATGAGCTGGGCTAGGTAGGAGGCCTGCATTCACCTCTGTGATGTGAAAAGAGAAGTATATGCAGAAAGAGTAATCTGTATTACACAATTGAGCTAGCATCTAATGCTTTGGGGTCCGGTGCTTTAGTTCTGATGTGTAATCTTTTAAGCCCCAGGGCGTTCAAGCCTCTATCTCGAGGCTCATCCCAGCTGATTGTGTAGAGTCTTGGCTCTTCATAC